TGGCTTCTGCTCCGCCAACAGAGGATCTCAAAATGAAGGTGCTCTGTCTAACGGTCATCTTAGTAGGAATGTTTATCATTCGGTGGACACATTCGCTCATGCACTAAACATCGTATTTACAATTTCACACTCATTTTTCAACAACCTATTCTCCCCCTGCGGCCTGACTAATGATGTATTAAGATGTATTTTGTTGCTATTTGATAACAGTTGTTCATATTTTCAAAACCCAGTGTGGGATTTCCAATTCCCAGAGCAATTGCAGGACACGGCAGCAGGGTCTGTAGTCCCTCGTATGTGACCATGGGTACCTGGAGCTGAACAAGCTGCTGTTTGCTGGCCAGTCTGTTGCAGGTTACTCTTCACCTCTACCTTTTCTCTCATCTCCCACCCACTCAACTCATTTGAGTTTGCAAATCTGCCTGCCAGGGTACTTTGCACAGTGAGTTAGGCAGATCAGATCCAGAAGTGGATTTTCAGGCAGTGGATAAAGGAAGAAGAAATGCTCCTCTGAAGTTGTTGTTGTTATCACCAGATCTATGAAAGAAAAAAAGAAAGAGCAGACAGGCAATGCCAGGGACAGGCACTCCTCGAGACCAGGAGACCCATGAAAACGAAGATGCCCATGGGATAAGGAGCCTGCTCCACTGGGAGCTGGAGGTCCCGAGCCTGCATAGATGAACTAACCCTCTGCTTACCACCCTGTATTTGCCTGTGACCCATCACCTGACATTCTGCTGCAGTCAGGGAAGGAGGTCTCTAAGGGGTCAGAGTTTAAGCCACAGACTCAGCCACTCCCAAATTAGCTGCAGACTGAGGACCAGTGTTGGAAGCCAGAATTCTAAGGTGATTGTCCCATGAGCACGGGCTGGAATGGTGAAAATGACAGAGGGCACTGATCTGATTTAGTTAGTGAGTATGACTTTAAGATAGCCAAAGGAGAGATTATCTTTTGGGTCCTGACCTAATCATGTAATCTCTTTAAAAGTCGGCTCTGGTCTTCCTCTTCCAGATGTTCTCCTGCTGGCTTTGGAGAGGACAGCCACAAACAGTACTAGATGCAGAAAACTGAATCTGACCAACAATAGATGATGCTTAGAAGAGGAGACCGAACCTCTCATGATACCCCAGCCCAGCCAGCACCCTAACTGAAGCTTTGTGAACTGAGAATCCAAACCAACTGCACCTGAACTCCTAACCAGAGAAATTGGAAGGTGGCAGATGTGTATGTAGTTTTGGTTGTGGTACAATCATTACACTACTTAGCAATGGGATGCATTCTATTGTATGCACAATTTTGGCTTTGTTCAAACATCACAGTGTTTATTTCAACAAAGGTGCACACCCAGCTGTGCCACCCAGCACAGCCTCTAGATGCAAATAAGAGGCACAGGAAATGCAAGATGCAGGAGGCCACTGCTTGTGTGACAAGAAATTCTGTCCACAGTGAACTTTTCTTCTCCTTTCTTTTCTCCTTTCTTCCTCGCTTCCTCCCTTTCTTCCTTTTTTCTTCACTCCCTCCTTCCTTCCCTCCCTCCTTTCTTCCTTCATTCTTTCCTCCCTTCATTTATTTTTGAGACAGACTCACTCTGTAGCCCCAGCTATGCTCATAATCCTTCTGCCTCTGCCTCTGCCTCTTGAATTCTGTGATTACGGCCCTGTGCCATCTGGATCATCATATCTGGCTCACCTTTGCTTTCATTACAATGATTCAGGCTATAGTAAGGGTTGATGGCATGACATCCTGAGAGCAGTATTCAGCACCCTGGCCCCAGTGTGTTACTGCTATGTAGCCCAAGCTGGCCTTGAGCTCGCAATGCCCCTGGCTCCAGGTGTGTGTCAGTGTGCCACTTTAAACTTGGAATTCTATAAGGATTATGATCCAAATGGATGGCAAGAAGTATAATAAACAAGCAAAAAGAATGGTCCATGTGCATTATCAAGCATCCTGCACTGCATATCATAGCCATGCTATAATGTGACAGGCAACATGGTGGGATGGTCTTGGCTGGTGGCACCACAGACCTGTGAGAAATATGCTGCCCTGCAGCCTTGGGGGAGACAAAGCATTAGGAAGAAACAGGGAACTTTTGTTTTTCGTTGTTGTTATTTAGTGGGGGTTCTTTGATTTGTTTTGATTTTTAGACACGGTCTCACATAGCCCCGGTCGGGATAGCCAAGGATGACGTTGAGCTCCTGATCCTGCTGCCTCTATCTCCCATATGCTGGGACTACCTATAAGCACTACCACTCTCAGTTTAGTAACAGAGATTGTTAATCCTATCTTTAAGTTTGAATTTATCCTTTTCATCCTTAAGTAAAAATAAACAGTCTTAAGGGAATCTCCTTGTATGTGCAATCAATTCATCTATCCATAGTAGACTGAGCCATCATTATGAGTCATATGACTATAATCATGACACAGTCAAAAACAATTTAACAACAAAGTAAAAGAAAAAAATAAAATGTCATACTCAAGGGGAAAGATGCTGGAAAGGCCAGCACAGCCAGGCACTGGAGAAGTGCAGCCGAGGGGTCAGACTGCAGACCAGAGTCTGGTGGCAGCCCTGCTAAGCTACTGTGATTCTCCCACAGCAAAGCTGTCTGGGATAACATCCTCTCAGGGAGCAGCTTCTCCAAATTCCACCAAAAAAAAAAATCATAAAGAATTTTGACCACAGAGGGCAAAGGATGAGCTTCTATAGAAACATATTTATATCCACAGATACTCCAAACCAAAGGGACTGGAAAGCCCAGAAGGCAGATGTCAACAGCTCCACACTAGAATGGGAAAACTGAGGAGGGCTATGTTTGTAGGATTTCCCTGACTCACAAAGTAGTGGGGGAGAGTGTGAGCGCCAGAGTGAGGGCCTGGGAGCAGTGAAGAGCATAGAAAAGAGAATAAACAAAAAGAGTGGGTACGGTAGTGCACACTTGTAACCTCATCATTCATGAGGCTGAGGCAGGAGGGCCAAGAATTCCAGGGCAGCCTGAGCTATGTTACACAGACCTCATCTCAATAAACAGCAGTAACAAAACAAAAGAGGAACAATGCTTCCTGCCCCCGCAACCAGTACAAGGCTTTCAACCTCCCTCTCTCTTGGTCTCTCTCGCTCTTACCCTCTCTTTCTCCTTCCCTCTTGCTCTCTGCTCAGCTCTGCTCTGGGACTACCTATAAGCACCACTCCATTGGATGCTGGCTTCAGTTGATTTCATCACAACTCATATTGAAGGAAGATGTCTCAAACCTGCTTAGGGCTCTTCCTGGTACCTGTGCATCTCCTTTCCCAAATCTCCATCTGCTTTGTCTCTTTTCAGTGAAGACCTGGGTGGTGGGTTTGGCTGAGCACAAAGAGATGCTAGAACATCCCTGTGTGTCACAAAGAATAACAGCCTTCCGTTCATCTTATATTTCCAGACATCTGTGATTATGTGAATGTTACATGGCAAGGGGGAATAAAGGTCGCAGGTGGAATTAAGGTTGAGGACCAGCTAGCCTGACAAAAGAGTTTATCCTTCAGGTAAAGTTAACTGAAAGAGAAATGTGTAAGGTGGGGAGGGAGGCACTAGAATGATAAGATGTAATAATAACCTGACCCACAATTCTTGACTTGGAAAATGGAAGAACAGGCCAGAAGCCAAGGAACATGGGTGGTCTCTAAGTAGCTGGAAAAAGAAAGGAAATGGATTCCTTTTGGGGGCTTCCAGAAAGGAGCACAGTTCTGCCAACACCTTGATTTTAACCCAGTGAGACCAGTTCCTAACTCCTAGCCTGTAGAACTGCAAGGCAATACATTTGTGTTACTTTAAACCACTAAAACAGCAGTGATTTGCTCCCGCAGGAAATAGAAAAGTCCTAGCTCTGTGTATGAACGCTGCACAGTCACTGTGGGGCTTCTGGACCCAGAGGCAGTCTGTATATACGCCTGGGCTGCCCGACCCTATTCCCAAGAGAAGCTCAACTCCACCTCCTCTCTGATAAGTGGAGAGGAAAGCTGCCTAGACCAGAAGGCTTTATTCACACCATCACCCTAGTGAAACCCGGAGCGAAGGAAAACCTAGTTAGTCGCCCTAGTGTGTTCCGGGAGATAAATGCAAGTTATGCATTTATATGTGTGCAGTTAGACTTTTATTTTCTGTACAGCCAACCGTAATTATGCCGTCTTCTTTGACTGGAATCTTGTTCTATTTATTGATGTGCCTGACACCCCTGTGACCCCTGGCGAGCTGGAAGCTTGTAGCAGTGCGGCGTAGGTTGCTCAAAGGATTTCCCTCTAGGAAGGGACTGGGCGGGGGAGGAAGCCTCTGCGCTTTTCAGGCTAAGCGCAACCAGAGCTCTATCATGTCCAGCCTGCTGAGAACCCAATAGGGCACTCAACTCTTGCATCTCTACCCTCCAGTCCGGGTCTCTCGGACCCCAAATCACCTAGGTCCCCCAAAGCCACATCCCACAACAGTGAAAGGCTTTCTCTGCGAACAGTCATCCAGGTCTATCTCAGCTGTGAGATGTCTGTCCCTTGCTGCGCCTGGCGCCCCTCGTGTGCAGAGAGAAAGGGCGCGCTCTGCTCCGTTGCAAACTTTGCTTCTTTGCCAGGAGTTCAGCTTGTTTCCCAAGCCCCGGGTGTGCGCTCCCACGGACGCGCGTCCCTTCCCGAGGTCGCAGCGCGCTGGCACGGCTGGCCACGTCCCTCCTAGCAGGCAGTGGGCGGGAGAAGCCCGGGCCGCGCATACCCAGCCCCAGTCCGGGAGCCCCGCGCCACCTGTGAGGCCTTCTGTTCTCCTGGCTTGGCGGCTTCACAGTGTCCCGGCCAGAGACTCCCGACCCGGGGCAATTGGCGTCGCTCAGCCCGCTGCAAAGAGTTAAGAGCAGGCGGCTGAGGCTCCGCTGGCCTCGCCAAGTCCCCAGGCTCCACTCGCCGCTCCTGATTGGCTGAGCGCCTGTCAGTAGTAAGGAGTATCAGATAGCAAACTTGGGACCTTCATAAAGGCGTGGTGGCGATACTCCGCGACCGCTGGCAGCCTATGACATCAGCCAGGAACGCCTAGGATGCCGCTGCTCCTGGTCACCCTCGGAGGAGGAGGGTCCGGCCTGCTGGGAGTTAATTAGCCCTGCTCTGTGAGGGGGGAGGCTTCAGTTTTCTGGGAACACTGGCGGCCACTGTCCGTCCTCCTGCCCGGGGGAGCTCCCAGAGAGTTGGATGAATTTTGGGTTGTTAAGCTGCTGTCCGCTGGGCTCCAGGGAGCCGGTTCCTGGTGGAAAGCAGGGGGCATCTGGCCAACGACCAGCGGCTGAGACTCACCATGACACTCCTGGGGTCTGAGCACTCTTTGCTGATCAGAAGCAAGTTCCGATCAGGTAGAGTAAGGCTTCCGGGCTCCTTTTTCAACTTTCCCTCCTTTCCCATTCCCCACTCCAAAACTGCTCTCCAATGACTGTCTCAGGTAGCCGCAGCCACCTCCGCTGGGCTCCCCAAAGCCAATAGCTGGATCTGACTTTGAGTGCCTTTAAATGCCTTCTTTCACATGTGTGGAGTATGGTTTTTGTTTACATAGGCCAATGCTTTTATTTTACTATATTTTTTCTCTGTCTGAATAGAAACTTTTGAGGGGGACTGTCCAAAATGAACAAATCGAAAATGTACAAATGAGGGGTTTGAAGTTAGGCAAGGGCAGATATCAGTTAACAGTTGCCCAGACGAACCCAGTGCTGGGTATTAGGTACAAGGGTCACTTCAAATGTAGCTAATCCAAACAAATGTATTTCCCAAAAAAGTCACTAGAGAAAGTAAAAATAGCAAATTTGGAGCACACCAAGAATTTAAAATGACATCACTGTACGGAAAAAAAAAAAAGCTCAGTGCCACAAATATTTTTTTCCCAAACCATCTGATATTTATAAACGGACAAATTACCCCCAACTTGTTGTGTTAGTGGCACACAAAGAAACCTCTCAAAGGGCACTCAGGAGAGGTGAGTGGACGGGAGAAATGGGAACATGAATCCCTCCTTATGAAGGGTTTGTGGGGGCATGGAAGGTATGGGGATATGGGTTCCCCCATCTCCACAGTGCCACACTTGATTTCTCTGTTCCCCTCTGCATGTTATTGATTTTATAACAGTGGTCGCATGGAAATGGACCACTCAGTGATAGTTGAGCACCTAAGAAGACAGATTGCTTTCATGAACGCTAATGAGAGCCTTTGATGTAACAGGTGGTGGCTTGATATTGGTGTCACTTCTAGGCCTTGCCTTCCATGGCCCTTCTGACTGGGCCCCACAGTTGTTCGACTGGGGATGAGTGGTTCAAAAATGAGGACACTGGTGACAGGCAATAGGACCATCTGTAACTACCTTAGTTGTTCCTGGTCCTTAAGTGTCTATGGATTTTTTAAGGATCTGCACACTGAAGCAAGTTGAAAACTCAAGGGCTTAGGTGGCCACAAGTCAGAGAGCCCCTAGGCTCTCTGTATCTCAGCCACCAACCAACCAGGGTCAGCTGTGGATTAAATCTTTCCTTTCCTTTCCATGTTGAGGTGAGGTGGTTGGTTTGTTCATCAGAAACCTCACACTGCTCAAAACTGCAAGGCAACACTGCCATCTTCCTGAAGGAGAGGGGATGTCGTCTTGTTTTGCATGAAGCTTGGTTCACTTCAAGTGCTCCTGTGAGGTTCAAGGGGAAGAGGGAGATGACTTATCTCAAAGTGGATTTGGTAATGTTCTTGATGGTAGAGTTACAAAACAGATTTATCAAATGAACTCTCCCTATAGTGGGGAGGAAAGACTTTTTTTGTACCACTCTAACTGCCAAGTCAGTTTGTGGAGGCCTGGGGTGTCCAGGCAGACCCTGCAGTACTTTATTCTTGAGCTTTGAAAAGAATCTAACCTCATTTTTTCTTTTCAAAGCTTCCAAGCCTCTGTGCCATAAGGAAGGCTAGCTTTGGGACGTATGACAGAGGAGCAGGAGTAGGGGCTTAATTCCCCCTCATCTTTAATAAACAGGGAAAATGGTATCTGAGACAGGTAAAGAGACTTGGGCGTCTAAGAGGCTATGGTTGATGGTTTCACGAAATACAAAGAAAAACGGGTAGCACGTAAAATTTGGAAACTGTGATTGGAGGATTCTGGTTACTCTTTCTGGACATCACAACCACAGTAGAAGTGTACCAGCCCCGAGGCCTGGCTGGCAGCACGTTGACACAGCTTCTGTCTAAGGAAGCCACCTTGTGACTAACAGTGAATAAGGAGGACCTCCTCCTTACTTTGACTTGTCCCTATCTCTTCCTCCTCCTGCTCAGCCTCCTCCTCCTCTTTCATGAGCGACTCCAACTGCAAACTCAAAACTTTCTGTATGGCAGCAACTATTTGCTTCAATAGCAGATGCTGGTATTGTGCATTTTACTAAAAATATTTTAAGAATAAATGCAGCTGGATTGTTTTGTGATTATTATGGCAATGGACTTCCTGTGATTGGTCTTGTTCACAGTGAGCAAATAGTTCATTTCATTCTGAAATTGACAGGGATGACAACAATGTCCTACCAACTTTCCGTAAACTCCATTCAAGTAGCCTTGTGATTAAGTGCTAGATCCCACTAAGGAGCTGAGAACTGTGAATTTTTAAGTTTGTGAACATGTTTGATGATGTTAATTCATCTTACCTGACAGCAGCATGGTGTCACAGTTGAATGTGAGGGCCTTGGCCAGACTAGTTGGGTTTTGAGCTGTCACCTCTACGTCCTAGCTCTATGACCTTGAACCTTAGGTAACTGGTATAATTCTCCCTGTCTTGCTTGTCTCACTGGGATAATGAAGCCAATTCTATTGTGGTTGTGCGAGCTAAATCTGCAAGCAGATCCCTTAGGACACAGACCAACACTTGGGAAGCCCTGGCCAACAGTGGTCAGTACAAACGTTCATGTTCATGGCTGTAGGATCCTCAGTTGGGCTGCTGCTTCTTTTTAGGTCTTGGTTACTTAACTTGTAAATGTCCAAGTTGAACAAATGATCTCTTGGGCCTCTTTGGTATCATGTATGTGTGACTCTCTGAAGACATAAAGATTGTATGTATGGGTAAGCAAAAGTGTGATTGGGCTACATGACAGTGGGTAAATAGGAGGCAGCTGACCTACACATAATATGGGTGTTATTTTCAAACATCACATTTTTAGTTTTTAATTTTCTCCCTGTTGTTAATTTAATAGTTGTAATCAGTCACTATCAACAGTGTTTCTTAATATCAATCCGTGTGTTCACATAACACAAAGCACACACATAGAAACACACACACGAATGGATAAAAAGTAGAGAGGTCCATTAATGGATTTTGTTCTGAAAGAACCAATGCATCTCTTTTCCCTTTTTTCCTTGTCTCCCTCTCATCCATCTCAAACACCCAAGCAAAGGCAAACTTCAGTACCTATCATCCCCTAGCCTTCATATCCCACAAATGCAGGTTTGTCATATTTAGAAATACAGAATGCTCAGTTCTATTTGAATTCAGGGAAAATAATGAGTAGCTTTCGGTATTTATCAATGTTTGGGACAAAGTTTTCTCTGAACTGTTTATCTCTCTGGGCCTGCAGTACTTTTATTGGTAATTACCTACACTCTGGGGGCTCTTTCTTGGATACCTTACTGTCCTGTCCAATTCCCCATCAACCTCTTCAGATTCTAGGACCCTAGAACTGTGGAATTTATCTTAGCTAAGACTCAGCATTCTGTGGGTACAGCTTGAGAATGAGCCCTGGGTGCTCCAGAGCAGGGCCAGCATCCAGATAGAGGGAAGGCAGCAGGACTTTACCTCTAGCTTCCTGCAAGGAAAAGATGCTGCTCAGTGCATAGTTGGGCTCAGGCAGCAGGAGCTGTAACTAAAAGAAGCCAGGGACAAGCCAAGTAGGCAGTGAGGACGGAGCACAGAGCCCCAGCTAAATGTTAGGTAGCAGACCACACTGACTGCAGTCCAACCAGTGTGCAGGACCCAACCTCCAGTGTCTGTGGGTGGTTACTTGTCCTTCTAGAAAAGCCCAAGGGCCTCCCAGCAGGACCCTAGACCCTTTCTGTCTCTCTGTCCTCTACCCTTCAGATAACATAGGTGATTTACTAAATCCTGCTTTAATCAGGATTCTTTGGGGGGGGTGTCTTTTTTTTAGGCAGGGTCTCCCAGTAGCCCCAGCTGGCCTGAAACTCACTATGTAGAACAGGCTGGCCTCAAATTCACAGAGATCCTCCTGCCTCTACCTTCCAAGTGCTGGGATTAAAGGCGTGCACCACCTTAAAATCTTAACATCTCTAGAAATGAATTTTCTTGCCTATGACCTGAGGCAGTTGACCAAGCGGTTAGTTCCCTGATTTTTACCATAATAGACACTATTGAAGAAATTTGCACTGTGCTCTCAAAGAAATTCTGGTGTTGCCTCAGCCATTTACTAGTTTTATAACTTAGGACAACAAATTTAATCTAAAGAATGTCTTTTTATCCCATATAAATATATGGATGTGACTTCTTTAGGTCTTGTTTTGTCATCTACAAAACAGAACATTTTAACTAATTCATCTCTCTCTGAAATATTTCCCAGCCTGAGCACTTCATATTTTCTTAACTGAATGGCCTTAACTATTTTTTGTAAAAACTTAAATACTACAAGCTTGATGAAGCATTAGCATGAGACTATAATAAATTATACTTTAAACAATGAATTATATTTCAATTCCTAAATGAAAACCTTAACTCATCTT